AATTCGACGAGCGGGAGCTCGAGGAAACGAGGCTGAGCCGTATGCGCCGGAATCTGGACCGGCTGACGAGCAAAAGAGCGAGGACCGTCACTGGGGGAGAACGAGCTTTTTCGTTCGAATCCTCGCAAATTGCTCGCGGCGTCGTCCTCGCCCCTCGAAGGATCGAGGATCAAAAAAGGAAGCCGGCTGGCTGCGGGATGAACGGAGAGAAGCGAGAAAGAAGGAAGAACGGGACGAACGAAAGAGAAGAAATTGGACGGGGAGCAAGGTGGGGGGGGGGGGACGAGGATAAAGGAACAAGAATCGAGGGGAACAGGGGAAAGAAACGGCAGGAAAAAGAGATAGCCGACTTTTCCGCGAGATGTGATTTAGATACGCGTCTCTACGAGATCTTGGTTGCTGCTTCACCGTGGAACGCCCGGTCGTATAGACGGTGCGGTTAAAGCTCGAAAAAGAAGGTGTCCGCCGAGCAGATCCGCCGATAACATCGAGCTCTTTACCCGTGACCTTTCGAGGCTGCCGCATCCGCCACACCGAAACCCGATAATTGTTGGTTTCTTCGCGTCGGCGATCCTTCTCTGCTAAGCTTGCAGCTCGGCTTCTACCCAGCTCTGAAGAACCAGCCACCGATCTATCGTTGTCCGCGCCGAGATCTTGGTCTCCGATGCACATCTGCACGACTGGGAATCGATCATTGCATCTCAAGTTCTTACTTTACGTACTTGATTTTCTTTTTTTGTTTTGGATTTCTTTCGCTACCGTTCAAACGTTGGCATGTTGTACGAAGGCTGATTCAATAATTTTGTTACACTGACTGTTGGCGTTAAACGTAATTTGTATAGGTTTTCGCAAATGAGCTTTTTCTTTTATTTATCGCGACAACAATAGTCAAAGCATTTTAAGTTTGCGCTAAGAAAAAGAACGGCGCGCTGTTGTTCTTGTGCTTCGAGGAAATGTTCGTCGGTTTAAAGAGAACTTTCACCGCGGTATGGAGACGGTTTTCTTCCTCAGCCAGGTGTGTAGAAGTACCTCGATGAGTTTAAAACTAGTCATTAAGAATGAAAGAACATGCTGCACAATTTACTCTTCTTATAATGGAAAATATTTCTATCCAGTGATTACGAAACAGCTTGTATATATGTACAAGAATGGGTTAGTTGTGTCAACAAGTAAGGGGATTACATTGAGAAATAATAAATATAGCGCAAAAACTCTATTGTTGTTCTGACAAATTTTATAACTATATATACGAAAAAGAAAGCGCTGACGACTACAGCTTTTTTTTCGTCGTGGCTTTTGCCCCTTTTGTTATTCATTATTCGTTCACACTGTTTAGGCTCTACAGTGCTGTTAGGCTTTACAGTGGTATTTCACGCCACGCTGTAAAAAAGCACGGAGCTGTGTTTAAACGGATTTAAGATAGGAAAATAAAAAGAGCAAGCGGCGTGATCGCAGGGAGAACAGAATTAAACCGTGATAGAGTTAATCCGCGTCAGCATATAAAAACGGAAACGCGCCAAACACTAAGGGGGAAGGAGAGAGGGAGGAGCCTTAGTCGCGTTGGAATACCATCCACCGTGTGACTTTCTACAATTCATTGGAACTAAGCTCTCTCTCTCTCTCTCTCTCTCTCGACCTCTTTGATTAATGTTTTTTTCAACGTTTCGTTTCGACGTTTTCGTGCGATTTTTCGCTTGATATATACTGTATATTCAGTTCATTCATTCGGATGATATATTATCGCGGTAATCACTAGGAACCGTTGTTTCGATTTTATACGCTTTCTGATGTCCTCTCGTTTATCGGATCGTAAATTTGAAACGGTATAATTCATCAGTTGCAAGCGTCTCGTCTCGTCTCGTGCGCGTGCTGTAGAGTGACTTGAAAGTCTTTGTAATACGAAAAAATGTGCAATTTTCGTCGATGCCGTTAAGTACTGGCCCGTAACTACGTTGCACCGGGTATAAAACTATATTTTCCAGTGTATTCAAGCGATATGGCGCTCTATGAAAAAAAAAAAAAA